AACACGGCTACTCCTCTGATACTTGATTCTCATGCTTGGTACCATTTAGTTAGTTACTATGTGACATGCTGTCATGTCTGTGTGTGAGGTTTCCTGGTTCTTTGTTCCCATTAGTGTGACCATGTCAGTGAGATGAGAAGTGGAATGTTCCACAGCTGTGGGGACCTGTGAGCCCATTAGGAAGAGGCTACACTGAACCCAGACTTGTGACTTCTCCTTTCTCTGGATAGGATGAAGTGAATTTTTTTGGATGGTGGAGCAGGCAGCTTGGCCTGAACACCCAGAGCCAATCTGCCGTCCTGACAGCCCCATGGGGGAGATCAACAACTCTTCTCCCTGCTGGAGAGGAGGCAGCCCAAAGCATGGACCTCCAGTAAGAGAAAGGACAAGTAGAAGACCAAGGCCAGGCTCTGAAGGAGAAGAGCCAAGTCCCAGACCCAAGGGGAGATGGAAACTCTTTCTAAAGATCTGTGAAACCAGACAGAGAAACCCTGATTGAGCTCTAGACTGCATGGATGTAGTGTGTGGGGAGGAGATGTATGAGGGCCTGTTTACATGGTGAGATTGACCAGATAGCTGTTCTGGAATAGCTCACTGTGTGGACATTCTTATTCTGGAATATGAGTGCCTTTTTCTGGTTTAGTTTAGCCCAGTTTGCACTGTTATTCCCAAATAAGAGTGTCCACATGAAGAGTTATTCTGGAATAGGAATAGGACTTTAAATTCACATACGACCTTATTCCAGAATAATTTCCCTATGTAGACAAGCCTCCCTGAGAGTGAAGATTGTTCTGGTCTCTACATTGTGGATCCCCCAGGTGTTGCCTTTTCTCTGGACACCTGCTGTTCCACTGAAAAGTAGATGTATCCAGAGATCTCAGGGCCAGAAACAAGAGCAAAGATGCTTCCTGAGTGTCTCTGTCCATTGGATGTACAGTTAATGATTTCTGAGAGCTGATTAAACATTTTGTGTGTCACATATCCTAGGTGGGGAGTTGGGGGAGCTAAAGAAGATGGAGAGCTCAGCCTGGTTCCCAGTCAAACAGTGTCTGCATCACACAAATAACCACAGATGGGCCTAACTGTCCCCCTCATTATAAGCCTCAGTAGATAGATTAAGGGCTGAATGGCCCGGAGAGGCTGAACTCTCTTCTTGTTCCTACAGGTTCCTTTCAGGCCGTGCTGAGATACATTGGCCAGGAGTCAGTGGGAAGACTCTCCCAGCTGTTTCCCAGGCTGTGCCCACTCTAGGGATATGTGGGTTTCAGTCTCCAAGGACTGTTGATTTCTGCTCTTTTACCCTCCTCCCACACATGCCAAAGCAGCTCTCTCTGTTTTCTGACCTGACATGAAGATGCTGGTAGTAGCGAGCCTGGCAGCATCTCTAGGGTATGTCTTCGCTTCAGAGTTATCTCAGGTAATTGGTGCCTGATGCTAAGCACTTGGCTCCCAAAAGTGAGCAACCACACTGCAAAGCCCTACTTGAGTTACTGGGCTAGTGGTGAACTCATTTATGTGTGCCACTAGGACTTCTGGGAGTGTATCCCATAGTTCTTTGTACTGCAGTAAGATGAGCAGCTCTATGGTTCTTTCCTACTGAATTGTGGGAGAACCTGTCTATCCCGGGGAACCTGGGGGAATGATGGGAAGGCATTGGAGAACTGTCAGTACTCTAGTTGCTCAGCCTGTGTCCTCATTGCAAAGTGGGAAGGTTACCAGCCTGACTGAAAGCATCTCTCAGGCTTTAGCCTATAGCTCCAGTTACACTAGCTCGTTCAGGCTGAAAGCACCACCAGACGTGGTCAGAGGTTTTTGTGTGGGGACAGGAGGATTAAGGTAACACCCAGTTGGAACTTGTGCTAACTCTGCAGTTAAGACATACCCCCAGAGAACGTGCACTAGCCTCCCCTATCACTAAAGAGAAAAAATGGTTCCTTAGCTGGAGCCTTCCCATGCAGAGCTGATCACAGCGTCTGCATGTAACTGCAGCTCAGTGTGTCCCTACCTGTTTGTGTGCTGGTGAAAGTGCAGGCTGGATACAGCTATACAGTGTAAAGGGAGCCCAGGCTGGTGGGTCGGGGGCTCAGTGGTACCCCAGTTCCAGTTGGCACCCTGGGGGGAACCCGTCACAAACAGCTCTTTATACCAGCCCAGAAGCAGTTGTGCAAGCCAATGAGGTTAATTCTTTCCTGTTTGAATTATACATGGGAACTAGGCAGGGATGTTCATTGCCTCCTTTACTCTTCACATTGGCCATGGAACTGTTTGCAGAGGATAGAACTAGTGAATTTATCTCAAGAATAAAACTTGCAGGAATACATCAGAAAAAAACACTGATGACATAATGTTTTATCTAACCTGAACATTTCTCTAAAATTAGAGTCTAAAGAAATCTTTGGTCTGGTTTAAAGTGAATTATGCCAGATTTTAAATACTAGTTATAAATGTGCCCAATTTAGAGAACCTATTCCTCCATAAAACATTGGGGTACAAATGGGCAACAAATTCTATAAAATACTGGTGAATTCAACTCTCAAACATCCTATGAGAGCTATATGATTTAAATGTCAAATCGCTGTTTCAGCAAATGAAAAAAGATTTGGGGTGTGGGGAAAGTATACAATGTATTGGTTAGGAAAAATAGTCAAAATGACTATTCTGCCAAGGATACCTTTCTTGTTTCACAATATTCCTATCATAGAATCATAGAATATCAGGGTTGGAAGGGACCTCAGGAGGTCATCTAGTCCAACCCCCTGCTCAAAGCAGGACCAATTCCCAACTAAATCATCCCAGCCAGGGCTTTGTTAAGCCGGGCCTTAAAAACCTCCAAGGAAGGAGACTCCACCACCTCCCTAGGTAACGCATTCCAGTGCTTCACCACCCTCCTAGTGAAATAGTGTTTCCTAATATCCAACCTAGACCTCCCCCACTGCAACTTGAGACCATTGCTCCTTGTTCTGTCATCTGCCACCATTGAGAACAGCCGAGTTCCATCCTCTTTGGAACCCCCCTTCAGGTAGTTGAAGGCTGCTATCAAATCCCCCCTCATTCTTCTCTTCTGGAGACTAAACAATCCCAGTTCCCTCAGCCTCTCCTCATAAGTCATGCGCTCCAGACCCCTAATCATTTTTGTTGCCCTCCGCTGGACTCTTTCCAATTTTTCCACATCCTTCTTGTAGTGTGGGGCCCAAAACTGGACACAGTATTCCAGATGAGGCCTCACCAATGTCGAATAAAGGGGAACGATCACGTTCCTCGATCTGCTGGCAATGCCCCTACTTATACAGCCCAAAATGCCGCTAGCCTTCTTGGCAACAAGAGCACACTGTTGACTCATATCCAGCTTCTCGTCCACTGTGACCCCTAGGTCCTTTTCTGCAGAACTGCTTCCTAGCCATTCGGTCCCTAGTCTGTAGCAGTGCATGGGATTCTTCCGTCCTAAGTGCAGGACTCTGCACTTATCCTTGTTGAACCTCATCAGGTTTTTTTTGGCCCAATCCTCTAATTTGTCTAGGTCCCTCTGTATCCGATCCCTACCCTCTAGCGTATCTACCACGCCTCCTAGTTTAGTGTCATCTGCAAACTTGCTGAGAGTGCAGTCCACACCATCCTCCAGATCATTAATAAAGATATTAAACAAAACCGGCCCCAGGACCGACCCTTGGAGCACTCCGCTTGAAACCGGCTGCCAACTAGACATGGAGCCATTGATCACTACCCGTTGAGCCCGACGATCTAGCCAGCTTTCTATGCACCTTACAGTCCATTCATCCAGCCCATACTTCTTTAACTTGGCGGCATGAATACTGTGGGAGACTGTATCAAAAGCTTTGCTAAAGTCAAGGAATAACACATCCACTGCTTTCCCCTCATCCACAGAGCCAGTTATCTCATCATAGAAGGCAATTAGGTTAGTCAGGCACGACTTCCCCTTGGTGAATCCATGCTGACTGTTCCTGATCATTTTCCTCTCCTCTAAGTGTTTCATAATTGATTCCTTGAGGACCTGTTCCATGATTTTTCCAGGGACTGAGGTGAGGCTGACTGGCCTGTAGTTCCCCGGATCCTCTTTCTTCCCTTTTTTAAAGATGGGCACTACATTAGCCTTTTTCCAGTCATCTGGGACCTCCCCCGATCGCCATGAGTTTTCAAAAATAATGGCTAATGGCTCTGCAATCTCATCCGCCAACTCCTTTAGCACCCTCGGATGCAGCGCATCCGGCCCCATGGACTTGTGCACGTCCAGTTTTTCTAAATAGTCCCGAACCACTTCTTTCTCCACATAGGGCTGGTCACCTTCTCCCCATATTGTGCTGCCCAGTGCAGCAGTCTGGGAGCTGACCTTGTTCATGAAGACAGAGGCAAAAAAAGCATTGAGTACATTAGCTTTTTCCACATCCTCGGTCACTAGGTTGCCTCCCTCATTCAGGAAGGGGCCCACACTTTCCTTGACTTTCTTCTTGTTCCTAACATACCTGAAGAAACCCTTCTTGTTACTCTTAACATCTCTTGCTAGCTGCAACTCCAAGTGTGATTTGGCCTTCCTGATTTCATTCCTGCATGCCTGAGCAATAGTTTTATACTCCTCCCTGGTCATTTGTCCAATCTTCCACTTCTTGTAAGCTTCTTTTTTGCGTTTAAGATCAGCAAGGATTTCACTGTTTAGCCAAGCTGGTCGCCTGCCATATTTACTATTCTTTCTACACATTGGGATGGTTTGTTCCTGCAACCGCAATAAGGATTCTTTAAAATACAGCCAGCTCTCCTGGACCCCTTTGCCCTTCATGTTATTCTCCCAGGGGATCCTGCCCATCTGTTCCCTGAGGGAGTCAAAGTCTGCTTTTCTGACATCAGTCAGGTTAAAAATATAGAGAGATTTTCATGCATATATGGCGGATATGTCCAGTTAGAGAGTATTGGGATGTGATTAGTAACTAAATATTACAAATTATTGGATATTTATTACCAAATGACCCTTTACTAATCCTTCTGGGCTTCCTAACAGAAGTGTTCAGACTCAAAGAAATGAAGAATTAATCTGTCATCTGCTAGTAGCTGCTAGGCTGCTGATAGCTTCTCATTGGAAAAAAGAAAAATAGCCCAAAATTAGAGGAATCATTCCAAAAACTATGGGAGTTTGTTATAGAAATATTGATGCATGTTATGTATCCAGCAAAACAGACAAGGACAAACAGATACTTAGATATGTGGTTACTGTTTAGCCAATACTCTTACAAAGTACTGCAAAAATCCCAGCATACCTATCCAATGGTTTTGAATATTAAGGTTTGATGTACACACCTGGTTTGATAAATATGAGCAGTCAGTACTTTCACTCAGTTTAATAAAATCACCAGAAACACGACTTGGGTGTTGTAAAGAGGCTGACTCTGTAATATGCTAACACCGGCTAAATAGAGATTTCATTATTATAATTACGTACTGCATGTTTCCTCAGACAAAATGATTGTAATGATTAGTGTTTTATTTCTGATGATTACATGGCAATGCTTTGACTCCTGAGTTCTGTTCCCAGCTCTGCTACTACCTTTTTGGGTACATGCACACTGGGAAAATTTGAAGCCTTTTTTTTATTTTTGCGTTGATGCAGCTTCCCTGATGCTACTAGTGATAGCAGCTGCAGTGTAGACAGGACAGTTTTTCCACACTTTGTTTTGAGGATTGGAAAAGGGGTGAATCTTACAAATCCTGTTCATATCCAGCACAGGTTGAAAGTCATCATGGCCTTGTGGTTAAAGCAAGTGACTGGGAGTCGGGGAGATCTGTGGTATTTCAGGGTCTGCTGCAGCTTTCTTGTGTTGCTTTAAGCAAGACACTTAACTTCTCTTGTGCTTCAGTTTCCACATCTGTAAATAGGGAATAAATTTTACTTACTTCATATGGATGTTATGAAGCTAAATTAATTACTGTTGGTAAAGAGGGTTAGATACTATAGAAAGCAAAATATGATAAAAAGGAAGTGCTAGTCCATTTGAACTTTATTCAGTAGACTGCAGTAATTATTGATTAACAACTTCTGGAAGGGGAAGAAAGTGGGCTGTTGACCTCAAAGAAGTAAACTACAGGGAGGTTTATGTGAAGGTGTTCATGTTGTTAATGTTATTGTAAATCTTAATCCTTTAATAAAGCTGTGACCTTGATGTTGACAGGTAGTATGCCATAGAGCAATATATAGTGTGGCACCAACCTTGTAAATCTCATGTCATTTTTGCCACTGTCATAGACAACATGTAAAAAGAAATCAGACAGCAGAGGTTTATGAAGAACATTTATTTGAAGGAAAGCCTTTTAAATCAGACTATTTTTTTTAAGATGAAATCAATGGCCCTGCCAACTTTTTATTCCTCACGATAAAACATATTTGTGAAATTAAATCAACAATGAAAATGTGTAGAATTACACACAGAAGTTTGTGTGCTTACTTCTCTGTTGGAGGTACATTTTGAAACAATTCTATAGCCCTATCTTCTGGTCACTTTAGAACAGGGGTGGCCAAATGTACTGACCCTCGGAGCCGCATACGACAAACTTCAGAAGTTTGAGAGCCAGGATGCGATTGCCAGGGCTCCTGCCCCACAGGAGGCACCTGCTGATGTCCTGAGCCCCGGCAGGCATGCCCTGCAGGGCTGAAGCCCCGGGACCCCATCCCTGCTGGGCAGAGAAGACCCTAGCCCCACCACCCTGGTGCAGGCCAGAAGCGCTGAGTGCCCCCCCAGTCTGATAGGCTACAGAATCCAAAAAAGGCTGTGCCTTGTTTGCTGTCTGTCCCAAGCATTGCAACATCATCAGCAGTATCCTGGAGACTCTGGCCTGCTCGTGGAATGTGCAATCACAAGCTGCTCTCTGCTCCAGTCATTGCCTTTCCCTTGTATAAAGGTAAAGGTGTTTGTCAATGAGCAATAAGGTAGTACAGGCAGACAGTGACTATTGCATTTTAGGTGTTCAAAACCCAGCAATATGGCAGTGTGATCTTTTACATTTTTCTGTGATGGAGTTGGAATTTAATTTAAAAACAAAACTATTTTTTAAGTCAACCCGTTTAGGTCTAAAATCTGACAATGTCCCGGTAACTGTAAAAACTGAATTTGAATGAACAATGTAATCTGTTGAACATCTAGCCCACCCTTTTCAGTAGAATTATGTGCTGTTCGGATGATTCACTTGCATATATTCTAAAAATGACTGGTGTAGAATGTTTTCAATAAGGGCTTCTTCTACTATGTTTATATCCCGGAATAAGAAAAGAAAAAGATATTTAGGCATGCAGATAAAAACAAATACCGCTTTAACAAGCTACTTCTATTCTTGAGAGCTTGCTTAGACCATGACCCAACTAAACACTGATTTCAATGGAACTATATGCATGCTTAAAGTTAAGCACATACATAAGTAGTTTGCGGGATTGGGGACTTATTTTATACTACTCAATTTTAAGTACTGACAGTTTATAGTGGGAGAAATCTTTACTATGAAACAAATTTAATTATAAAAGGAAGAATTCCAGAGGAGACAGACAAGTAAAATATGATATGCAAACACCAGTAACTCCTATGTTATTTATTACAGGCCCCAGACATAGAGATGCATATTATATAATTATATATACAAATAACAAAATGTTGCATATCTCAGCACTCTATTGCAAACAAGATAAAAAAATACATGAGCCATCAATAAAATATTACCCAACCCAGGTGTATTGCTCTTATATGCACATAGTATAGATTAACACTTTATTGATGGCACATGTGGTTCTCTCAAGTCTGGCAGGGGTCTGCCCTCACTTTAGAAAGTATTAGATTCATCTCTTTTTTCAGGATGGTGTCTGAATGGACGTCAGTCAAGGCGATAAAGGAAACCACTGAAAAATGTTTTTGGAATTTTTAATAGTGTTTTGACTCTTGTGATGTATAGTCTAAATTTTATTGAGTTAGGAAAGTGTAAGTAGCTGTTGTTTAATAGCTCAATCCATTGAAGCCAGTGGGGTAAGTTGAGGAACAGAGAGAGGCTAAGTATTGCCAAAAGTCACACCATGACTTAGTAGCAGAACTGGGAAAAGAATCCATGTCTCCCAACTCTGTCTTGTGTTCTTACCATTAGAGTCTGTTGCCCCCACTCATATCTGTTACATCTTCGTAACATCACAACATACCCTAAGCATGACATTCTGGCAATCTAATGCATACCCTCACATGACATATTGATTGTCAGAGGTACGGAGGGAGATATGTAAAGAAGTCAGGACAGTAGCTTATAAAAATGATTATTTACTCACTATGTAGTCTTCATGGTTGAATGTGTGTCTGAGTTGAAGATGCCTTATAAAATTCCTGCTAAAATAGCTTGGATCTCCACCAGGTATTAAATGACAAATTGGATAGTACTGTAAGCAGGGGAAAAACTATAACTATTGAGTTTTCATTACAAAGACATTGCAGAAGGAAATATCAGTGTTAAGGGGAGAGTGAAATATCTGGAACAGTAATAGCTAAATGGCATTCTCTGAGTGACATAAATATATTTACTGCCAGACGCAATACACCCGCAGTCCAGCAGTAAAATTAGGTTAATCCCAGTTGCGTGTTTTCTGTTCAGTAGATACCCATGGGGATGTCTGTCTGCCCTCATCTCATGCTTAACTCCTTCCCTGGTACTGGCTAACCCAAGACTGTTAAATGAAATGTTATTTGTTGTGCTCCCAACCTATGTGCTGCATGATTTACTCTTCCACTGAAAATAATGGGGCTCCCACTTACATATGTGGTGGTTTACTGTACTACTTAAAACAAAAATGCCGTCATTGTTTTGGAAGGAGATTTTAGTTCCTTCATAATTTTTGGTCCTCTGCAATATAGCTAACCATTGTAATTGTTGCAAAATTTAGTTCAAATAATATCATAAAAATATTAGTACACACTTAAAACAGCATTTGAATAACATGCTTATAGCAAAGTGTAAAAGGCTAACTTATTGATTAATACTTTTAGAGCTAAATCCTGCTCTGTGCTCTTCTGGTATGAAAGAGAAGGGAGAAACAGCAGGCTAGAATCTCTCCATGAACCTCAACTGAGCACGCTCAGAAACAGATATCTAATGTGCCAACCCACACAATACATCCCATGGAGGGTGGATGGTCTAGTTATTACTTAGTCCTGCCTTGAGTGCAGGGGACTGGACTAGATGACATACTGAGGTCCCTTCCAGTCCTATCCTTCTAGGGTTTCAAGATTAAGGGGAGAGGCCAGTCTTCTAGCTGCAACCACTGCCCTATGGAGTATTTCCCCAACCTGCCCTGGAGAACTCTTTGCTATGTGGCAGGATTCTGGTAGCAAATTTTGCAGTAAACAGTGTCTATCCGCTTGCTGTACCAGATAGTCACATTTATAGATCATGTTGCTATGACATCAGTGTGACAGAGAAATTTCTTGACTCTTTTTGGGGTTTGTTCTATAATCTAAACATTATTTAAATTAAACTATAGTTTGTATATTTGTGTGAGGTTTTCAAGGAAGATGTTAGACTATTTTAATGAAATGCTGTGTAATGTATATTATTTACTGGTCTATAAGGGATAAACTTGTTTAATTGTGGAGTGAGATCTTTTAACACACGAGGGTTAACTAAGTTTTAAGGGCCTTATTCTGCCCCATAACTGCACACAGCTACTGTTTATGCATTTGCTCTAAGTACTATAAATAAACATATTTATGCTAAAAAATATAACATTTTTGTTTGGCGATTACCAGGTTGGCTTCTATATGTGCTGAACAATCAGTGGACTTGAACAAATAAATGCTGAACCTAATTTAAAACCACACAACTAAAAATTGGCAAAATATGGTCTGCTAGGGTAGTAACTCTTAATGGTGAACCCAATCTTTAACTGTAACCTTATTTATTCTTCCCTTAATTTGTACTCTCAGTACTACAGACACCAGGGGTGGGTAAATTATGGCCCAGGGGCCGCATCCGGCCCTTTAGACGTTTTAATCTGGCCCTTGAGCTCCCAACGGGGAGCGGGGTCCGCATGCGCCGGGGCTCCGCGCAGCTCCCGGAAGCAGTGGCATGTCCCCACTCCGGCTTCTACACGTAGGGGCAGCCAGAGGGCTCCGCACGCTGCCCCTGCCCCAAGCACTGCCCCTGCAGCTCCCATTGGCCGGGAACCGTGAGCATTCATGGCCGGTCATACAATTTTCAAACCTAGATGTGGCCCTCGGGCCAAAAAGTTTGCCCACCCCGATGTACACAGACCTACTAAAATGTTAAGATCAATATGATAGTAGTTAAGCAGATTAAGAACTAACCTGCACCATAAGGGAGAAGAGAATGTTGTCCTTTGTTTTGTTAGTGATGAGGGATAGTTGTGTCATATATCAGTCATTCAATTTGTTAACTTTTTGACTTGGCATCCCTCAGGATCAGGTCTTAAGCAAATTCAACTCCCAGTGAAGTCAATGAGAGTCGTGCACAGAACTTGTCAAGATCAGGCCTATATAGAGGTCTTGATCCTGTAATTTGATCCCCACAGTCAGACCCTTATGCCTCATGGAGCCCTAGGCTTGGGGCCATGCTATGTATTTTTGTTTGTACAACTGGAATAATTTGTCCTTGTCCTGTGAGTCCTTTGTAGCTCTTATGAATCATTGGAGTAGTTCTCAAATAATGATCCATAGATCGTTTTGTGCTAGGCAAGAGGACTATCAAGATAGACAGAAAATACTGCACAGAAAGTGAAGTCTGGGATGTTAGGCGCGGATGTTGGGTCCATGGAGAGAAATGATGAATACAGAATTTTAAAAGTGGAAGAATCACTGAATCTTGTAAAAATGTTGGTGGCGTGGCATTTTGAAAATGCATGCCATTAGTCCAAAGGGCTAACTATAAACTATCCTTTGGAGCCATCATGACATATTGGATGTATTTCTAGCGTAGAACTTTTGATACCATTTTCTAGCACCCGTGCTAGCTGGGGTGGAATCACTGTTACAGATTGGGTACAGGCCACTTATTTTTTTAATTACTGTGTCATCCAAGCCAAGTTTGTAATTAACGCTTTTTTTTGCCTGTTGTCATGTCTACTAGTATCTACAGCCAAACAGAATCAATCAATTTAATATGTAAGTTCAATAAAGTACACATTTGCACATATAACTGACTGCAAGATAGTTACCACTGCTCTCCTTTCTGTTCTATGATAAGTGAGACAATGGTCCATTAGATCATCTTCATGCAACTCACACTGGCAAAATGGACAGGCATATCTGGGAATTACAAAGATGGTATGATTATGAATGACTTTCTTTGTTTATAAAAAAACACGGGTAGATTTTGTTTTCCAAAAAGTAATGAGGATTTTAATTACCCTAAATATTTAAAAATGTTGATTCTTAGCTTTATGCTATACGATGGTTGAAATTTTTCAAAGAAAGAATGTGATTTAAAAAAAGGCCTTTTTTCAAAAATAAAAATGTTAACGAAAAACATTTTTCATTGACTTGATTTTTTTTATTTTTGCAAAGTGTCACATTTCATATTTGTTTTTTATTGAAAACATTCTCAAAATCATTACTGGTTTCAATATACAAAAAAACTGATGACCATTTTGATAAAAAAGTGACAAATTGTGAAAAAACTGAAAATGGCTACATGTCAAACCCTGTGAAATGGAAACAACTTCCAAATTTTGACCTTTTTCTTTTTTTAATTGACTAGCTGTACTTCGTACTATTTTATCCCAACACCAATACATAGTAAACTCAACAGCACAGTGGTCACATTATGATCATCAAAGGGCTGTACCTTGTTACTGTGTCTCCGAGCTCTTGTAGAGGTCCATATTTTTCTACATATTGCTCACAAGTCCTTAAATGAACTCTCATTTCACTCAGACATACCTAGGCAATGTTAAAAAGCAACCTGTTATTCTTTAGCCCAACAGATATGTCATATACCCGGTGGTCTTGTTCACTTGGCATAGCGTATTATCTTTGCCATTCTGAGGCCAGGTTTACATTATCTGCACTCCAGCAGCATAGCTATGATGCTGTAGCTATCCTGCTATAACCCTGTAGTGCAGATGCAGACTACAGCGATGGAAGGGTTTTTTCCCTTCCCTTGGATTTTTCACCCCACTGAGTACCATAGCTGTATCAACCTATTGTAAACCAAGCCTGAAAACTTAGAGGCCAGTTTGCTTAAGAGCTATTTTCATTAGACTGGTGGAACTTTAATTAAGGATATATCATAATTTCTATTATTAGCCCAACTTCTCAGGAGTTACAAGATCTTACTGACTGAGCACATTATTTTAATACACTGTCTAACAAAAAAGTGCACGTTTTGAGTGTAAAATTAATTAGAACTAGATATCTAGCAGTTTGAGGCTTTTGTCCTGGTTTTCAGACTAACACTTTAGATTGTGAAATGAACTGTTGGAGATAGTGGGCCCTACCCACCGGGTCTTATGCAGGTAAAAAGACCTATTTGATCACATTCTGCTCTGTTACACTGGTGCAAATCTTGACTGACTCCACTAAAATCAACTATACTTTTACTAGACTGAGGACCAAATCCTAGTCCTGATGAAGTCAGTAGCAATACTCTCATTGGCTTCATTGGGGCTGGGATTTGGGTCTTACACTGATGTAACTGAGATCTGGCCCATTCACTTTACTTCAGGACCGTGCTACAGTAAATCTTGTGAACCGGGCCCTTTAAGTATTTTCTACAAAGAAAAACAACAAGAGCCTTGTACTCCTTGACATATCAATGATATTTTTGTTGCCTCTAATATGTCTCAAATAAAAAAAAATACAAAAATGCACATGTAGTAATATTAAGGCACTGCCTTAAACTATCCATTACCAGTGAAATAGTTTTCTGAAATACAAAACACAAGGCAAAAATAAAAATTAAAAATCACACTATTATAATATAACATTCCTGATATGTTTCTCATGCTGTTTGTAATCTGTCTAACTAATCAGATAACAACAGCCCTTCCTAAATTCATCCCTTCATTTTGGCATTCCGCTGCAATATGTTCAGCTTACAGCTGATATAGAAGAATTAGGTTTTATTTTGCAGCTGACAAGACAAAAGGAAGTAAGACACTGAGAAAGAAGAATGAGGAAGGAGATGCTGTTCTGGCCTATACTTAAAATCAAAATAGGGTGGGGTATTCATTATGCAGAATGAAAAGGGGACAAGTAAGCAGTGAAAAGTTGTGAACAAAGTGAAAAAATGTTTTGGTTTTGTATAAACTTTCAAATTAATGTATATGAGTAAAGTACCAATCAACTGTCTTCATTGTCCAGACCTGCTAATTCACTCTCTTGCTCTGCCCTGCAAAGTTAGAAATGATGGGTCTAATTCTCTACAGCTTTGCAATTTGTTTAGTGATTTACACATGTGGACAATGGTAGCATTTTACAAGCAAATTTGCACAGGGTTAAATGATAACACAGATGCCTTGCCTAAATTAAGAAAAAAAGGTGGGTTTTTTTGTTTTTGTTTTTCCAGTTGTTAGCTCAATTGAGGTAGTTTAACTTGATGGGAAAACACCAGTAACTCTAATAACTAAAGATGCAATTTAACACCTTTAGTTTGATTCTAGCAGGTTGTTATAGCGCAGGGGTCTCAAACTCAGATGACCTCAAGGGCTGCATGAGGACTACTGCATTGCCCCGAGGGCCGCATCACTGACACCCCTCCTCGTTGCCCCCGGCCCCGCCTCCACTCCACCCCTTCCATGAGGCCCCGCCCCTGCCCCACCTCACCTCTTCTCGCCCCTTCCCTGCCCCCATTCCAACCCCTTCCCTGAAGTCCTCACCCCAGGGGGTGCAGGAGGGGGCTCAGGGCAGGGAGTTGAGGTGCAGGAGGTGTGCAGGGTACGGCAGGGAATTGCGGTGTGGGGTGCAGGAGGGGTGAGGGGTGCAGCGGGGGCTCAGGGCAGGGAGTGCAGGAGGGGTGAGGGGTGCAGCGGGGGCTCAGGGCAGGGAGTGCAAGAGGTGTGCAGGGGGTTGGAATGCAGGAGGGGTGAGGGGTGCAGGGTGTGGCAGGGGGGTCAGGGGAGGGAGTTGGGGTGCAAGAGGGGTGTGGGATGTGGCAGGGGGCTCCGGGCAGGGGGTTGGGGTGCAGAAGGGGTGCGTGGTACGGGCTGCGGCCCGGCGCCGCTTACCTAGAGCGGGGTGGCAGCGCCGCGCCCCATGGCCAGGGCAGGCTCCCTGCCTGCCTGCCCTGTCCCCGCTCCGCTCCGCTCCAGGAAGCAGCCAGAGTCTCGGGGGGGGCGGGGAGAAATGGCTCCATGTGCTGCTTTTGCTGCTCCTGCAGGTACCTCCCCCAAAGCTCCCATTGGCCGTGGTTCCCAGTTCCCGGCCAATGGGAGCTGCAAGAGCACAGAGCCCTCTACTTGCCTCCCACCCCCCTGCTCAGGGCTGCAGGGACATACAGTAGTTCAGCTGCTTCAGGGAGCAGCGCGGGGCTTGCGGCAACACGGGGTAGGCGGGGGGGGGGAGCGCGGGGAGCTTGGCGGGCCGCACGAAAGAACCCCACGGGCCGCGTGTTTGAGACCCCTGTTATAGCGTAAGGTCTTGCAGTTGAGCTAACTCAATTTAAAAAAAGCACTTTTTCTCTAGTCTAAACAAGGCCACAGTCTAAAGTAAACCCTGGCAAATCTGGACCTGGGATAAGTAGGTCCAATTGGTCTGACTGAGTTTATTTTAGAGTTTGTTTATATGAGGAAATTGACTGGCATCGCTACAGCAAAATATTCTGCTTGCCCTGAGGCCAGGTCTATGCTAAAAAATTAGGTCAACCCAGCTACATTGTTCAGGGGTGTGAAAATCCACACCCCAGAGTGACATAGTTCAAGGGACCTGAGCCCCAGTGTTCACAGCACTAGGTCAATGGCAAAACATTTCCGTTGACCTAGCTAGCGTCTCAACGACTGTGCTGGGAGAACCCCTCTCATTGCTGCAGTGTATGGCTACTCTGAAGCACCAATTGCAGTGTGCTGCTGTAGCAGTTTAACTGTAGACACAGCCTAGAAAAGAGGCCTCAATCTTATCACTTCTCGTGCACAGAATATCTTTAGAGTTAATCAGTAATGAATGTTAGGCTTGCAAACCTGTGTGTCACACTCTGTGCAGTTTTCATCTTCTTTTCATCTTCTTGGCAATATCAGTAGCTGGAATTCCTTCCGAAGGAAGATAAGCCCGGCAATAAGGACATGTCCATGTATTATTCCTTAAACTTGTAACAATACAGGAGTGACAGAATCTGCATAAAGAAATTAAAACAAATAGAACACTTTCCATTAAAGTAGTGCAAATAAATCATAATTATGGTAACATTCCAGTTGGGTATGTGTATATATGTCATCACTAATATAATATGGCATGATGATCAGTTTCTATTGCAGTTCTAGTCAGTTAATAGGTGTGTTTGCTCGCAGCATCCTACTCTACAGCTTTGTTGATAAAGTAATGTACAGGTCATTGGAGTTTCTACAATAGGAAAATTTTTATCCATAATGTTCCATTAGTACAGCAACACTGATGGTAGCAAGGGTGACTCCTGTAAGTGCAGGCAGTAAAAATGCCACATTTTAGCAAGTTGCCCCTTGACCTGATCAGCCCATGTCCCACATATTAATGCTGCCCCTGGCAGGAATAATTTGCCTGGGGGTTGGTAGAATGTCAGGGCTATAAACCCACAATAACCCTGCTTTTGCAGCATCACTGTGCACTTGTGTGTTCACTAAGAGTATTTAAGGGCTGTATATTGGCTTCAAAACAATAAGCTGTAGGTTTGTTTGGCAGATTTCTCCTGCACTTGATAGTGTGAATAGAAGTAAATTATGGCAGAAGCTGTAATACCTTTGAAGCAATGAGAGTAGGGGAGGTTTATTCAGACAGCAGAATCTAGGCTAAAATAAGAATAGTTAAGGGTTCAGGATAACAAGGGGTTAACTTGTCTGCACCCCTTTTTAACATCTATGTAAATGACTTAAAAACCTGGACAGGAAGATAATGCTTAGGTTACTTTATGTAAATGAAGTGGCTATAAGGTCACAAATGCACAATGAACTATGGAGGCAATTAGATGCTTTTGAATTTCAATGTGATAAATCATAGTACATCTAAGAGTATGGTATTCAGTAGAAAGAGAACAAATGCAAGAGGGATATAGGGGTGGATTGGGGTGTGAGGAAGGTTTGAGGGCTAATGTGAATTTTGGGAGGATGGACCTAAGTCCACCTAGACAAGAGGCCCACCTCCTCAATTGTGGGAGGGGCTACAGAGCCCAGAAGACAGGATTCCACGAGACAACAAATGATAAAACACAAATAGGAGTGGGGGTCAAAAGTTCAAAACAAGGGTACCAGATGGGGACAATAAGCAGAGAACCCTAGACAGCATCCATTGCTTCATAAAGGAGTCCAAGGAGTCAGTGGATGCTGCCCAGAGACACTCTACTGAGAGCAGTGAAATGACAAGGGAATGGAAGTAGGCCCTACAGTTGCAAAGAACCTCTCGGTTGAGTGTCCTCCTCCTTGACTGAGGTATGGCCATCATGGTCAGTGCTAGGAGGAGGTTGACTAGGAAGTCATATGACTTCTTGGGGTCACAGATAGGGAGTGCATAGCAGAATAGATGTGGAGTAAAGTGCAAACAGAAACTCAGCAGGAGGTTCTGAAGGAGCCAAAAGAGGGGCTGCAATCTCGCACATTGAAGGTGGACATGCAGCAACTATTTCATCTCATCACAGACGGGACAGCCGTCAGGGGCGTTAGTTACCATTATCCCTGGCGGACCTAGGTGGAGTAAAGGTTGGCTCACTGGGTTCCTCATCCTTGCAAGGTGATAGAACACACATCACTGTAGAACATAAGGCTACGGATATGCCCTGTTTGGAGCAGGAGTATGTAGTTATGATCTCTGGCTAGTTTTGCAGACAGAGCAGCTGGATATGGTCCAGCCTGCTTGGCTGGTGCACTGTAGGTAGTGGGAGGGATCGGAGGACATAGCTTTTAATTTGAGCCCTGACGGCCCAGGAATAGGGGCTGGTGGGGGAATACCCTATTTCAGGACCTGTTCAAGAGAGAAAAAATGGATTCACAACACATCAGGTAGTTCAGTTATATCAGGATTGTGTTTACCCCAAGATTAAACTGGAGCCTACAAACTGGGAAAGTTGGAAAGAAAGTGGTATAAGGAACTGGAAGAATTATCTAGTCAGACACCAGTCTTATTGGAAATGTGATAGAATTGGCTTTGGAGGTGTCTTTTAAGGCAGAATATTAATATAAATTGGTATAAAGGTGTGGTGTCGGGGCGTATCAGAGAAGTAGGCGTGTTAGTCTGTATCCACAAAAACAACGAGGAGTCCAGTGGCACCGTAAAGACTAAGGGATTTATTTGGGCATAAGCTTTCGTGGGTAAAAAAACCCACGTCTTCAGATGCATGGAGTGAAAATTACAGATATAGGCATAAATATACTGGCACATGAAGAGAAGGGAGTTACCTTACATCCTTAGAGGTTTTTAAGGCCTGGCTTGACAAAGCCCTGGCTGCGATGATTTAGTTGGTGTTGGTCCTGCTTTGAGCAGGGGGTTGGACTAGATGACCTCCTGAGGTCTCTTCCAACCCTAATCTTCTATGATTAGAAGTGGAGAACCAGTGTTGACAAGGCCAATTCAGTCAGGGTGGATGTGGTCCACTCCCAATAATTGATGAGGAGGTGTCAATACCAAAAGAGGGAAAATTGCTTTTGTAGTGAGCCAGCCATTTCCAGTCCCTATTCAAGCCCAAATTAATGGTGTTAAGTTTGCAAATGAATTGAAGCTCTGCAGTTTCTCTTTGAAGTCTTTTTTTGTTGAAGGACGGCTGCTTTTAAATCTGTTATTGAATGTACAAAGAGATTGACGTGTCCTCTAATCAATCTAATTAGCAATCTAATCAATGGGTCTGCAGTATGTAAATTAACCATGTGAAAACTGGCTGAGAATAATGAGTTTTTCATAATTGTCCTTTACTCAAACCATACATTTAAAAAGGTCTAAGGACCTAGCTGCACTAAAACCCCCTCACCACATTTGACTAAGAATGCAGGAAAATTGTATTATATTTTTTTCTTTCTTGCCAGGTGCAGTAGCACTGATCCTGAGGATTTGGACCTAGAGCTCCAAATGTTGCTAACAGTGCTGGAGCTCAGCTGGTGTTAGCAACACTGGGAAATCTTTGGAAAATGTCCAAAATGTAGACACCCCCACCTAGGCTAAAACAATTCTGTAACACAGTTCTAGTGGTTCTGAATCTTCACTCCCTTGCCCCTTGTATAGTAATTTACACCTGTGCAAAGTAATACTACCAAATCAGACTTCTCAGAGTGATGGTTGCACTTCGCAGAGTAGGTGCAAAATGCCAACAACTACACAAAGCACAAGGGAGTGGTACATCAGGCCTAACATGTTTTCTATCCAAGAATAAACCATGTTCTAACATGATTTGACCTCAGCCATGTTTCACAGCCAGGTTTTAATCTGCATTATTTTTGTATGTTAGACAGGGTTTAAAAGGTGTTTCTGTTTCTCTAACAAATGGAATAGTCTTCTATAAACATCTATGATCATGGTTCAGGTGAGTTGTCAGGGCCCCTCCCCTATTAATGTCACATGGCATAAAACCGGATTGCTCTTTGTCCACCCTACCTATCAAATCGCCATTGGGGAAGGGTGATATAGCATATCAGGACAGATAGAAACACAAGAATTTATTGTATACAGATAATATTCTGTTACTGGGCAGACTTCTTCCCTCTACTGACTAACCAGGAAACAATTTGGATACATTTCAGGCTATAACAAACTACTCTATAGCTGAAGTCCCACCATTAAAACAGTTGGTGAGTTTTATTTGCTCAATACAAATGTAAATACATAAACACACCTCTACCCCTATATAACGCTGTCCTCGGGAGCCAAAAAATCGTACCGCATTATAGGTGAAACCGTGTTATATCGAACTTGCTTTGATTCGCCGGAGTGCGCAGCCCCACCCCCCTGGAGCACTGCTTTACCGCGTTATATCCAAATTCGTGCTATATCGGGTCGCATTATATTGAGGTAGAGGTGTACCACAAAACAGCCAGGATGGGGGTAGAAGAAATAAGCTCTGAGCTTCTCAGGATGTTGTCCTTGAATCTTGTTGAGGGCCCTATTCCTCTGCTCTCCAAATACAGCTTCTGGATGATTGACTGATTGAAATCTTGTGCAAGAACTTGTCTCTCAGGGGCACATGGGGAGGAATTGTAGGAAGGTATTGGGAGGACAGTGGCATAAAATGAGTAGACTTAGGCCTGGTCTACACTAACCCCCAAATTCGAACTAAGGTACGCAACTTCAGCTACGTGAATAACGTAGCTGAAGTCGACATACCTTAGTTCGAACTTACCGTGGTTCAGACGCGGTCCACACGCGGCAGGCAGGCTCCCCGTCGACTCCGCGGTACTCCTCTCGCCGAGCTGGAGTACCGCAGTCGACGGCGAGCACTTCCGGGATCGATTTATCGCGTCCAGACCAGACGCCATAAATCGAACCCGGAAGTTCGATTGCCAGCCGTCGAACTACCGCGGTAGTGTAGACCTGGCCTAAGTCTGCGTAGTGTGATGAGTTGTGCTAACTTGAGCTTTAGCCTGTACCTTCTACTAGGCCAGCCAACTTGAGTTAAAAGCAGCACCAGGTTGAAATTAAGGGGTTTTCTTTTTGGTCGGGACTTGATTTAGGGGCAGGACTTGAGTCCTAACTTGAGTTAACTTTGCAATGAAGACAAGACCTAAAAATACTCATCTGAAGTCTAAAAAGACTGGGCCAAACAGATCTGTGATGTAACTCTACTGAAGTTAATAGAGTTACCCATGGTTACTTATGCTCTCTCTCCACCTTTTTTCCCCCCCAAGGACTGATGAGGTTTTGGTTTTTTAGGGTTGTCGATTAATTGCAGTTAACTCACGTGATTAACTAAAAAAAAAATTAATCGCAATTAAAAAAATTTATTGTGATTAATCGCACTGTTAAACAATAGAATACCAATTGAAATTTATTAAATATTTTTGGATGTTTTCTACATTTTCAAATACATTGATTTCTGTTACAACATAGAACACAAAGTGTACAGTGCTCACTTTATATTATTTTTATTACAAATATTTGCACTGTAAAAAAATGATAAACAAGAAATAGTATTTTTCAATTCACCTCATACAAGTACTGTAGTACAATCTCTTTATTGTGAAAGTGTAACTTACAAATGTTGATTTTTTTTTTTTGTTACGTAACTGCATTCAAAAATAAAATGTAAAATTTGAGACTACAAGTCCACTCGGTCCTAGTTCTTGTCCAGCCAATCGCTACGACAAACAAGTTTGTTTACATTTATGGGCGATACTGCTGCCTGCTTCTTATTTATAATGTCACCAGAAAGTGAGAACAGGTGTTTGCATGGCACTTTTGTAGCCGGCATTGCAAGGTATTTACGTGCCAGATATGCTAAACAGTTATATGCCCCTTCATGCTTCGGCCACCATTCCAGAGGACATGCTTCCATGCAGATGATGCTCATTTAAAAAATAATTAAATAAATTTGTGACTGAGCTCCTTGGGGGAGAATTGTATGTCCCCTGCTCTGTTTTACCCGCACTCTGCCATATATTTTATGTTATAACAGACTGGGATGATGAACCAGCACATGTTCGTTTTTAAGAACACTTCACAGCAGATTTGACAAAACGCAAAGAAGGTACCAATGTGAGATTTCTAAAAACAGCTACAGCACTCAACCCAAGGTTTAAGAATCTGACGTGCTCTCCAAAATCTGAGATGGACGAGGTGTGAAGAATGCTTTCAGAAGTCTTAAAAGAGCAACACTCCGACGTGGAAACTACAGAACCTGAACCACCACACATGCACAAAAAATCAACCTTCTGCTGGTGGCATCTGACTCAGATGATGAAAATGAACGTGCGTCAGTCCGCTCTGCTTTAGATAATTATCGAGCAGAACCCATCATCAGCATGGACGCATGTCCTCTGGAATGGTGATTGAAGCATGAAGGGACATATTGGCACATCTGGCACGTAAATATCTTGCGACACGGGCTACAACAGTGCCACGCAAATGCCTATTCTCACTTTTAGGTGACATTGTAAACAAGTGGGCAGCATTATCCGCTGCAAATTGTAACCAAACTTGTTTTGTCTGAGCTATTGGCTGAAGTAGGACTGAGTGGACTTGTAGACGCTAAAGTTTTGTAATAAAAATAATATAAAGGGAGCACTGTACACTTTGTATTCTGTGTTGTACCTGAAATCAATATTTGAAAATGTAGAAAACATCCAAAAATATTTAAATAAATGATATTCCATTGTTTAACAGCACGATTAATGGCTTGACAGCCCTTGTTTTTTTTAATAGTGGTTCTGTTTAGTTTAGGGGGTTTTTTTTTAAGGGGAGAAAGTTGGGGGATAAATGGAATGAAGTGTTATTTTTTTAAACTACTTCACCCAGTTATATTTTTATTTAGCAGGCTGGCCCCTAAGCTGGGGTTGCCAACTTTCTAATCTCATAAAACCAAACACCCTTACCCTACCCTTCTCTGAGCACCGCTCCCGCTCACTCCAGCCCCCCTCCCTCCGTCGTTCGCTCTCACTCACTTTCTTCGGGTTGGGGCAGGGGATTGGGGTGCGGGAGGGGGTGAGGGCTTTGGCTGGGGGGTGCAGGCTCTGGGGTGAGGCCAGAAATGAGGGGGTGAGAGCTCCAGGAAGGGGTGAGGTCTCTGGGGTGAGGCTGGGGATGAGGAGCTTGGGGGGCAGGAGGGGACTCTGGGCTGGGGCTGAAGGGTTCAGCGTGCGGGAGGGGGCTCAGGGCTGGGGTGTGGGAGGGGGCGTGGGCTCCAGCAGGGGGGTGCAGGCTCTGGGATGGGGCCAGGGATGAGAGGTTTAGGGTGCAGGAGGGGGCTCAGCGCTGGGGCAGGGAGTTGGGGTGCAGGCTCTGGGAGAGAGTTTGTGTGCAGGAGAGGTCTCGGGGTGGGCAGGGGGTTGGGGTGTGGGAGGCAGTGCAGCCTCTGGCCAGGTGGCGCTTACCTTAGGAAGGCTCCCTGCCTGCCCAGGCTCTGCGCAGCTCCCTGAAGCGGTGGCATGTCCCAGTGGCTCCTAGGTGGAGGACCCACAGGCACCGTCCCCGCAGCTCCCATTGGCTGCAGTTCCCGGCCTAGAACCTGCAGGGACATGCTACCGCTTCTGGGAGCCACACGGAACCAGGGCAGGCAGGGAGCCTGCCTTAGCCCTGCTGTGCTGCCAACTGGACTTTTAATGGCCCAGTCAGCAGTGCTGACTGGAGCCTCCAGGGTTCCTTTTCGACTGGGCGTTTCAGTCCAAAACTGGACACCTGGCAACCAGGGCCGGCTCCAGGCACCAGCCTGGCAAGCAGGTGCTTGGGGCGGCCGCTCCGGAGAGGGGCGGCCGCTCCGGAGAGGGGCGGCCGCTCCGGAGAGGGGCGGCCGCTCCGGAGAGGGGCGGCACGTCCAGGTATTCGGCGGCAATTCGGCGGACGGTCCCTCACTCCCACTCGGAGCGAAGGACCTCCCACTGAATTGTCGCCGCAGATCGCGATC